GTACTAGGACTTCTCTGTATATGTAATTATTTTTTTGAAGATATCCTAAACGTTTTGAGCGCTTCTACCAGCATCATACCCCATTTTAGTCCTTTAATCATTGCACAAGAATGACTTTGGTCAACCATAGACTTGTATTACATTAGGGATGCCCTGATCTGATACTGACATACTGATAGTGTGATGAAAAAAAAAAAAAAGTACAGGATTGGATATCTGTTTCTAAATATTGGTTTAGCCTATTTCCTTGATGGGCATTTCATTTTATGTAAAAAGGACAATTTACCGGTTGTAATTTAAACTATTATTTAGACAACACTGTTCTGTTCTCATTTGAGGGATTAATAAAGTTACACATGCATTTGGATCTTCTGATATTTTTGTTTTAAGAAAATAAAAGCTATTTTTAGTCTCTATGGGGCATTGACAGATACTTAGCCATAGTACTGAAATCAGTGTTGGAACTGAAAAAAACTTTATTAGTACATACCTACATAACAAAGATGGCACTGATTTGTCCTTTCCATAATAGTTCCTCCGGACCAGCCTCGACTCACCGTTACCAAGACAACCACCACATCCATAACCCTATCCTGGATCCCTGGAGACAACGGGGGCAGCTCCATCAGAGGTCTGCAGTAAATTTTGTCTTCATTGTACTTTTGTGTGTATACTTATCGTGTGTGTCCGATCCAGGCTACATTCTGCAGTATTCCGAAGATAACAGCGAGCAGTGGGGTAACTTTCCCATCAGCCCCAGTGAGCGCTCCTATCGTCTGGAAAACCTCAAATGTGGAACGTGGTACAAGTTCACACTCACAGCCCAGAATGCAGTGGGGCCTGGACGCATCAGTGAGATCATAGAGGCCAAGACCCATGGAAAAGGTATGCTCAAAAGATTATCACTACATTTATTGGCCCTCGCCCCTGGGGTATTGTTCTTCGTCGGTTTCTTTTTTTTTTTTTTTTTTTTTTTTTTTTTTTTTTTCCCTTTTCCGACCAAACGATCGCATTTTTGACCCCCTGAACATCGACGAAAAGTCCCCAAACCGGGGTCCAGATCGACCGGTCCGGCGAAAAATTCGATAAAACGGGCATCGCGACAATGCCCAAAGCCCCCCCACTCAACAGCGCCCCCTTGAAATTTCAAAATTTTGAGATGACTGGGAGGCTCAGACGCATATTTTGGAGTAGGGTCACGAAATTCGGAACAGTGATAGAACTCATGGAGACAAACAAAAAAGCCAATCATTGTGCACCCGTATGACGAACAGGAAGTCGGCCATATTGGATCAAAAATTCGGCGCCGTTTCGACTTGGGGGTCTACAAAAAGATTCAAGTCCCCGGGGTTTCGTCCAAATGAGCTCAGATTTGACATGTCACATCTAGAGACATGAACTCACAGAAATTTTCAACTTTTTTTGAGATACTCCGTACGGTTCGCCCGTAGCACGCCGGCGAATAACGCCTTCGTTTCCTGTTTTTTCGAAGGCCTGTCACGGCCACAGGCATTGTCATAGAGAACTCAAATTCAAATCACAATTGCGTGACCCAGGCCTGAATGTAATGAAATATGAAATCTAATAAAAGTGAACTCTATAGCGCCCCCTAGCATAGACGTGAAACGTCAACATTATCGGATTTTTACCAAATTCGGAAATTAAATTCTATGCCTGATGACAAGCAAAAAAGTGCATTACGGACATGGGGTATTTTTCACAGTTGGCCACCAGGGGTGCAAAGACTCCCCCAAAAAAAAGTTAAAAAAATTTATTACACAAACAGGTTTTGTCCGATCGTGCTGAAATTTGAATCACTAATGCATGATCCCGGCCTGAATATAATACACTATAAAACATATGAAAAATGAACTCTATAGCGCCCCCTACCATAGACATGAAACGTAAGCATTATTGGATTTGTACCAAATTCGGGAATTAAATTCTGTATATGATTACAAGCAAAAAAGTCTATTACGGACATGGTGCATTTTTCATGGTTGGCCAGTAGGGGCGCAAAGACTCCCCAAAAAAATAATAAAAAAATGATTACACCCACAGGCTTAGTCCGATCGTGCTGAAATTTGAATAAGAAATGCATGATCACGGCCTGAATATAATACACTATAAAACATATGAAAAGAGAACTCTATAGCGCCCTCTACCATACACATGAAATGTCAACATTATCGGATTTGGACCAAATTCGGGGATTAAATTCTATGCATGATTACAAGCAAAAAAGTCCATTATGGACATGATGCATTTTTCATGGTTGGCCAGCAGGGGCGCAAAGACTCCCCCTAAAAATAGTAAAAAAATGATTACAGGGACATGCTTAGTTCGATTGTGCTGAAATTTGAATCACTAATGCGGGATATTGGTCTGAATATAATAAACTATAAAACATATGAAAAGTGAACAGTATAGCGCCCCCTACCTTAAGGCCCGTTCAGACCAAAGCGTCAAAGCGTCCACTTTCTATGTAAAGTCTATGTGGACGCGCGACTAGAGCGTCCTGCGTTTTTGCAGCGCGTTTTCGGCGTCAGCGCGGCGCGAATCTGGCGTCGACGCGGCGCTTCTTGAGCGTTTTGGCGTCAGCGGCCAAGACGCGCGTCCAAAGCGTCAGCGTCAAGAAGTTGAAAATGCTGAACTTTTCACGTCAGACGCGCCGCGTCAACCAATCAGGGACGAGTATCCAGTGACGCAGCGACGTTATTATCAGGAAGCAAGACCCGAGAACCAGAACCAGAACCACCAACATGAGCGGAGCATAAATATATACGCCACAATCACCGAGCCGATCGCAAGGACTACACCAGGACCGGACCAGGACTAAACCAGGACTCGACTGGGACTAAACAAGAACTAGACCGGGACCAAACCAGGACTAGACCGGGACTGATTCAGTGTCATTAGCGGAGTATAAATATATATACGCCCCAGTCGTCGACCCGATCTCCTCCGCTGATGTTTTATGTCATAAAAACACTCTCTCAGTCTGGTCTGATATTGTTTTGGGAAAAGACCGGGACCGGGCTTTTGTTTCCAGGGCAACGGACGCGCGTCAAGTATTTTTGTCCCGTTTGTTCACGGCGTCAAAGACGCGCGTCGGGGGCGTCTACACTCAAATGCAAACGCGTCCAAATAGAGGCGTCAAGGCGTTTTTTGACGCTTTGGTGTCAACGCCTCTTTAGACATGAAATGTTAACATTATCGGACTTGGACCAAAGTCGGGGAATAAATTCTTTGCATGATTATAAGCAAAAATGTCTATTACAGTCATGGTGTATTTTTCACGGTTGGCCAGCAGGGGCACAGAGAATCCCCCCAAAAATATTGTAAAAATTATTATATGCACATGTTTTGTCCGATTGTGATGACATTTCTATCAGTTATACACTGCATGACCCTTATTCCATTGATATGTCAAATACAGTTATCAGGGATACAGCGCCACCTATATGAATGCACACAATTTATTATTGTGTGACATAAAATTAGTTTTACATTAATTTGTAAAACTTTGCCAAAACATTCACTGACGTACTCCTCATCATAAAAGTCAGTAAGACCTATGCCCTAGTTTTACACTTTGGCCTCTAGAATAATTTCACTTTTGAGAAATTTAAAGGCACACTATGTAACTTTTCTGGTGGAGGATGTGTTTTCATGCACTTAGTCTTAGTGTGACAGTGCTCTTGACCATTAAAGTCACGTGACCTGTGGCTTAGTGTCTACAGTTTGGCTCTAGAATCATTCACTTTATCCTATTTTAAAGGTACACTATGTCATTTTTCTGGTGGACAAGCTGTTGGCCTCGGGAGCTGTCGGGAAGAGAGAGCGGTGTGTCGGGGCGGTCGCGAGTCCCCGGCGGTCGCGAGTCCCCGGCGTTCGCCAGGGGGGGCGGTGCGTGCCCGGGGCGAGGGCCACCATCGCCGCGCGCGGCTTTTATGTTTTTATTATTATTTTACCAACAGTTCATATTACAGCAATGCAAAACCACAGGACTGAAGCGATCAAGTGCAGACTTGGCCTGGTGGCGTCTCTTGCTTGTTTTTATGTTCCTTAGGCACACTGCGGAACATTCCAGACAAATCTATCACATCTCCATGAAAACAAGCAAGTGGTAAATAGTGCACCTTTAAAGTTGTATCAGACCTAATGATAATGTGTGGTAAGTGAAATCAAACAGCACTACAGCTCCTGTTGACCAGTTGTTCTTTGTATTCCAGCATTTAATCTCATGGCCTATAGTATGTGCATATATTGTGTATTTATGTGTGCTTCTACTGATGTCAGTATCAGTAAATAAACTATACTCTGAGCAGTAAGCATTATGGATTTGCAAGCTTAACTGCAACTCTTAAAGATGTTCACTTCATTTAGGCCATTCAATTTTTATAATTTTAATGAGTAGCCTAATTATTCATTTATTTATTTTACCAATATTTATTTATTACATTATCAACAAGATCAGCATGACCAACTTAAGATATGAAGGGGCCAAGTATATGCTAGCCTATACTGTACTACACTGTAATAAAATATTAGTATTAGCTGACTAATTACTAAAAACATTTGTTTTATTGACCTCAACCTCAGATAAAGCACTGAGGTTTTTTGAACAGATGAAGCTCTCTTTGCCTTTGCTGTGTGAAATAAACTATTTGATGGTAATATACTAGTAATGTATTGGCAACAGTTTTACTGAGAGGTGCATGTTAAAGACTTCAATGGAAAAACACAAAAATGGGACACAATAACAATGCATTACTTTTTATTATGACAAATTAGTTCACTTCATTTCACTTTAATCATCAATGATTCAAGTTTCCATTAAACTCTCAGGCTTGACTGCAGTGCCCCTCATAGGTCAACTGTACAATGCTTTTTTTCCAAAGTTTAGTTTATAATTGTCAAATTTTTCTAACTTTACACAGACACAAACAGCTTGTTTTGGTTCATTTTACACAAAAAGACCACATGCCCAAATCATGCCCATGTACAAAGGTTATAGGCAAGATTAAATTAAACCGATTCCTTTTTTAAACCGAGGCCTCTTTGGGGTGATCTGTTTGCTAGCCTGCTCCTCCTCCTGTAGTGCACAGCGAAAAGACTTTACTTTGTCTAAAACAAAACAGAATTACAGATTATGCTCTGCAAGTATCAATGTAAAAAACAAGAGTCTTGATTACTGTATTTTACCTCTCAGCTCAGTGAGAATGTCTATCTTCTGATCCAGAATTTGCTCAAGTTGAGTTGCATATGATTCACCATCATAGTCTACCTCCTTTGTCATTTCTAAAAGTACTATTTCATCTTCTAACCAACGAATCGACTTCTGTGAATAGATTTAAGATTTATAAATCCATGCAGCTCAGATTTACACAGATAAAATGGATGTCACTTGAATTGTTTACCTGAAACACAGCTCTGTGGTCCTCAAGAACCTGCTCTTCCATCTCCACAAGCTGAGACACAGCCTTGTGGAAAGTGAAGAGCTGTGGGGAAACTTCCTCTTCCTAAAACATCACAAAACAGAGTTCAATGTACATTATATGGTCCCACACAAATCCTTCTCACTAGTAATTATACAAGTGAAAAATACTACATTTTATTAGGTCTCTTAAAGATACTTGTTTAGATTTTTTAAAGTGCTCATAGCATTGGCATTTCATGTTTTGTGAAAATAAGTTTTGTAAAAGTGAGTGGACTTTAAATATCTGAATTTGCAATGTTAACATGATTGTGTGAAACAATCCATCCATCCATTTTCGTCCGCTTATCCGGGGCCGGGTCATGGGGGCAGCAGCCTAAGCAGGGACTCCCAGACTTCCTTCACCCCAGACACGTCCTCCAGCTCCTCCGGGGGGACCCCGAGGCGTTCCCAGGCCAGCCGAGCGACATAGTCCCTCCAGCGTGTCCTGGGTCTTCCCCGGGGCCTCCTCCCGGTGGGACATACCCGGAACACCTCCCGAGGGAGGCACCCAGGAGGCATCCGGAACAGATGCCCGAGCCACCTCAACTGGCTCCTCTCGACGTGGAGGAGCAGCGGCTCTACTCCGAGCTCCTCCCGTGTGACTGAGCTCCTCACCCTATCTCTAAGGGAGCGCCCAGCCACCCTGCGAAGGAAACCCATTTCAAGCGCTTGTATCCGTGATCTCGTCCTTTCGGTCACTACCCAGAGCTCATGACCATAGGTGAGAGTAGGAACGAAGACTGACCGGTAAATTGAGAGCTTCGCCTTTCGGGTCAGCTCCCTCTTCACCACAACGGTCCGATACAGCGACCGCATCACTGCCGAAGCTGCACCGATCCGCCTGTCAATCTCACGTTCCGTCCTTCCCTCACTCGTGAACAAGACCCGAGATACTTGAACTCCTCCACTTGAGGCAGGGACTCTCCACCCACCCGGAGAGGGCAAGCCACCTTTTTCCGGTCGAGAACCATGGCCTCAGACTTAGAAGAGCTGATCTTCATCCCAGCCGCTTCACACTCGGCTGCAAACCGCCCCAGTGCACATTGCAGGTCCTGGTTCGATGAAGCCAACAGGACAACATCGTCCGCAAACAGCAGAGATGAGATCCTGTGGTCCCCAAACCGGACCCCCTCTGGCCCCTGACTGCGCCTAGAAATTCTGTCCATAAACACAATGAACAGAACCGGTGACAAAGGGGAGCCCTGGCGGAGTCCAACATGCACCGAGAACAGGTCTGACTTACTGCCGGCAATGCGAACACAGCTCCTGCTCCGGTCATACAGGGACCGGACAGCCCTTAGCAAAGGGCCCCGGACCCCATACTCCCGGAGCACCCCCCACAGGACACCACGAGGGACACGGTCGAATGCCTTCTCCAAGTCCACAAAACACATGTGGACTGGTTGGGCAAACTCCCATGAACCCTCGAGCACCCTATGGAGAGTGTAGAGCTGGTCCAGTGTTCCACGGCCAGGACGAAAACCACATTGCTCCTCCTGGATCTGAGGTTCGACTATCGGCCGGATTCTCCTCTCCAGTACCCTGGCATAGACCTTACCGGGAAGGCTGAGGAGTGTGATCCCCCTATAGTTGGAACACACCCTCCGGTCCCCCCCGTTATACTTACACTCTGTTCACAGAGCAACTTCAGATCATCTCTCTGTGGGGAGCTGCCAACTCCCCACTGGGCCTCAAGCACCTCCAGCTGGTTAATGTGTCCAGCCTGATGACAGTCCATCGCTGCCAGAGGATCCACTGTTAGATCCTGGACCCTGAACATAAACAGTGCAGAGGTCACATGTTCTTCAGGTCTATGTTGTGTTTTTAAAAGGTTTACTAGTATAACTGTTTTATATATATATAGTTAATCAGTATAGGTCATACTCATAAGTAGGTGACAACTCAGATCGCCCTCCTCCCCCGCTCTGTGTGAAAGAGATATCTGAAGGGTTTATGCCAAACTCTTTGACCCTGCAAACACAGTGATTTTAAATGAGACACAAGACACAACACAAGGACAATAAGGTGTAATTAAACCCCACACACCTGTTGGCATATCTCAAAGTGTTTAAAGTGTTTTCACAAGATGCCATTCCAGGGGAGATTGTAGCAATCTGAAAAAATAAAAACATTCAAGCCCCTTGACCAAACTTAAGGTATGAAGCTGTGTTGCCCTTAAGACAATTGTACCTTTAATAGTGTTCCTTTAATAAATAAGTTAATTACTTTCATGTTTAAAAATGTATAAAAAAAATAGCGGAATGGGTTCACTTCCGGTGTGCATTTTCTGGTTTCCATAGATGGAAACCAGAAAATAGACATTCTGTATGTGGGATCTGTCAGGCTGGTCTCATCAACCGTAATCCACCTTGGAGCTCAAAGCAGGCAATACTGTGAGTTACTTAATGTGTTTATAAGTCCCTAAACATTTATATTTTTGTATTATTAAGTGAATATATAAAGTTTTAAATAAGATGAATGCACTTTGTTTTGGTATTACATTTGGCTCAGATTCTAAGAGCAACGTTGTTGTCTGTTACACCATCTGAAGAGGAAAATTAAACTTCCAAAACGTTTCCTGTGGTTCTTCTTCAATGGTTTAACTAAGTGTCTCATCAAGGACATAACAGAAGTTAAATGGTGACCACTGGTTTTTGCCATACCATGCAAGTTCTAGAGTTTTCTCCAATGAAGGAATCTCTCAGTACTTGAGTCAATTTGCTTGCTCTAAATGGAGTGTGGGGTTTGTTTCGTCCTAGAGCCCGAATACATTCCTGAAAAAGATAAATCAAAAGGATAACAAACATATCAGATAATATGGTAAAGGATTGGGCAGCATACCTTCAGAGCCAACAGACTCTTGTTGATCTCAGCTCCTTCGAGACGAGTCTGGCGGTCTGCACTGGATGTGTCAGCTCCCCTCTCGTTTCCAGCCAGATCGATAAGAGAAAACTTTCCGTGCATCTTTCCTCGTCTGCGCAAAATGATCTGGAAAACGGCATGGCTCCTGGAGGAATGGGCGTTTGCTGATGTCTTCCCAGAAGTCCTTGGGAAAATCATATGAATTATTTCCCACAGCCAATAAAGGAATCATATACTACAGCTGAGCCAAAGGATACCTGCAGCTGGTTCCGACTTCGATTAGTTTAAGGACATCTTCTGTGCATTTGACCTCTCTCTCCTGTAGGCCCACCACCTGGACTTGCTGCTTCCTATCTTCCAATACCCGCAGCTTGGCCTTATGATTCAGCAAGTCAAACACCTTAAAGACAAAAGCAGCAGCTGTTTATTAAAACAACATATAAATATGGGTATGTATGAAGTATGCATACCAACCTTGTCACTGTAGATTTCAAAAAAAGTGGCAAAGACCTGGAGATCTAACTTTTTGTAGTTTGGCTTTTTCAACATGAGAAAGACATCTCTGGCTGAAAAAAATATACGTACATAATATAATGCATACATATATATGTACGGTATATATAAAATATACACACATGCATACATAAGCTAAAACAAAATTACTTGGAGAATCAAACCATTATCGCTATTGACATACGCTTTGATGACTCATTTGTCGTGGGTCATTCCTTTCATTTCCCAAAGGCTTTTAAAAAAATCATGACTTCAGACAACATCAACTGTGTTGCCAGATTTACAGCCCAGCCTTTGGTTGAGACCATTTTTGAAAGAGGAATGGCAACTTGCTTTGCTTACGGACAAACTGGAAGTGGAAAAACACATGTAAGTAATGTTTCTGATTCCGATATGTTGTGAAATGACATTACTTAGGAATGACTATGTTTCAGACCATGGGAGGAGACTTTTCAGGGAAGAACCAGGACTGCTCTAAAGGAATCTACGCTCTGTCAGGTAAGTTATTTAATCATTTAATTTTGTTTTAGCTTATGTATGCATGTGTGTATATTTTTATATATACCGGTACATATATATATGTATGCATTATATTATGTACGTATATTTTTTTCAGCCAGAGATGTCTTTCTCATGTTGAAAAAGCCAAACTACAAAAAGTTAGATCTCCAGGTCTTTGCCACTTTTTTTGAAATCTACAGTGGCAAGGTTGGTATGCATACTTCATACATACCCATATTTATATGTTGTTTTAATAAACAGCTGCTGCTTTTGTCTTTAAGGTGTTTGACTTGCTGAATCATAAGGCCAAGCTGCGGGTATTGGAAGATAGGAAGCAGCAAGTCCAGGTGGTGGGCCTACAGGAGAGAGAGGTCAAATGCACAGAAGATGTCCTTAAACTAATCGAAGTCGGAAACAGCTGCAGGTATCCTTTGGCTCAGCTGTAGTATATGATTCCTTTATTGGCTGTGGGAAATAATTCATATGATTTTCCCAAGGACTTCTGGGAAGACATCAGCAAACGCCCATTCCTCCAGGAGCCATGCCGTTTTCCAGATCATTTTGCGCAGACGAGGAAAGATGCACGGAAAGTTTTCTCTTATCGATCTGGCTGGAAACGAGAGGGGAGCTGACACATCCAGTGCAGACCGCCAGACTCGTCTCGAAGGAGCTGAGATCAACAAGAGTCTGTTGGCTCTGAAGGTATGCTGCCCAATCCTTTACCATATTATCTGATATGTTTGTTATCCTTTTGATTTATCTTTTTCAGGAATGTATTCGGGCTCTAGGACGAAACAAACCCCACACTCCATTTAGAGCAAGCAAATTGACTCAAGTACTGAGAGATTCCTTCATTGGAGAAAACTCTAGAACTTGCATGGTATGGCAAAAACCAGTGGTCACCATTTAACTTCTGTTATGTCCTTGATGAGACACTTAGTTAAACCATTGAAGAAGAACCACAGGAAACGTTTTGGAAGTTTAATTTTCCTCTTCAGATGGTGTAACAGACAACAACGTTGCTCTTAGAATCTGAGCCAAATGTAATACCAAAACAAAGTGCATTCATCTTATTTAAAACTTTATATATTCACTTAATAATACAAAAATATAAATGTTTAGGGACTTATAAACACATTAAGTAACTCACAGTATTGCCTGCTTTGAGCTCCAAGGTGGATTACGGTTGATGAGACCAGCCTGACAGATCCCACATACAGAATGTCTATTTTCTGGTTTCCATCTATGGAAACCAGAAAATGCACACCGGAAGTGAACCCATTCCGCTATTTTTTTTATACATTTTTAAACATGAAAGTAATTAACTTATTTATTAAAGGAACACTATTAAAGGTACAATTGTCTTAAGGGCAACACAGCTTCATACCTTAAGTTTGGTCAAGGGGCTTGAATGTTTTTATTTTTTCAGATTGCTACAATCTCCCCTGGAATGGCATCTTGTGAAAACACTTTAAACACTTTGAGATATGCCAACAGGTGTGTGGGGTTTAATTACACCTTATTGTCCTTGTGTTGTGTCTTGTGTCTCATTTAAAATCACTGTGTTTGCAGGGTCAAAGAGTTTGGCATAAACCCTTCAGATATCTCTTTCACACAGAGCGGGGGAGGAGGGCGATCTGAGTTGTCACCTACTTATGAGTATGACCTATACTGATTAACTATATATATATAAAACAGTTATACTAGTAAACCTTTTAAAAACACAACATAGACCTGAAGAACATGTGACCTCTGCACTGTTTATGTTCAGGGTCCAGGATCTAACAGTGGATCCTCTGGCAGCGATGGACTGTCATCAGGCTGGACACATTAACCAGCTGGAGGTGCTTGAGGCCCAGTGGGGAGTTGGCAGCTCCCCACAGAGAGATGATCTGAAGTTGCTCTGTGAACAGAATGTAAGTATAACGGGGGGGACCGGAGGGTGTGTTCCAACTATAGGGGGATCACACTCCTCAGCCTTCCCGGTAAGGTCTATGCCAGGGTACTGGAGAGGAGAATCCGGCCGATAGTCGAACCTCAGATCCAGGAGGAGCAATGTGGTTTTCGTCCTGGCCGTGGAACACTGGACCAGCTCTACACTCTCCATAGGGTGCTCGAGGGTTCATGGGAGTTTGCCCAACCAGTCCACATGTGCTTTTGTGGACTTGGAGAAGGCATTCGACCGTGTCCCTCGTGGTGTCCTGTGGGGGGTGCTCCGGGAGTATGGGGTCCGGGGCCCTTTGCTAAGGGCTGTCCGGTCCCTGTATGACCGGAGCAGGAGCTGTGTTCGCATTGCCGGCAGTAAGTCAGACCTGTTCTCGGTGCATGTTGGACTCCGCCAGGGCTCCCCTTTGTCACCGGTTCTGTTCATTGTGTTTATGGACAGAATTTCTAGGCGCAGTCAGGGGCCAGAGGGGGTCCGGTTTGGGGACCACAGGATCTCATCTCTGCTGTTTGCGGATGATGTTGTCCTGTTGGCTTCATCGAACCAGGACCTGCAATGTGCACTGGGGCGGTTTGCAGCCGAGTGTGAAGCGGCTGGGATGAAGATCAGCTCTTCTAAGTCTGAGGCCATGGTTCTCGACCGGAAAAAGGTGGCTTGCCCTCTCCGGGTGGGTGGAGAGTCCCTGCCTCAAGTGGAGGAGTTCAAGTATCTCGGGTCTTGTTCACGAGTGAGGGAAGGACGGAACGTGAGATTGACAGGCGGATCGGTGCAGCTTCGGCAGTGATGCGGTCGCTGTATCGGACCGTTGTGGTGAAGAGGGAGCTGACCCGAAAGGCGAAGCTCTCAATTTACCGGTCAGTCTTCGTTCCTACTCTCACCTATGGTCATGAGCTCTGGGTAGTGACCGAAAGGACGAGATCACGGATACAAGCGCTTGAAATGGGTTTCCTTCGCAGGGTGGCTGGGCGCTCCCTTAGAGATAGGGTGAGGAGCTCAGTCACACGGGAGGAGCTCGGAGTAGAGCCGCTGCTCCTCCACGTCGAGAGGAGCCAGTTGAGGTGGCTCGGGCATCTGTTCCGGATGCCTCCTGGGCGCCTCCCTCGGGAGGTGTTCCGGGTATGTCCCACCGGGAGGAGGCCCCGGGGAAGACCCAGGACACGCTGGAGGGACTATGTCGCTCGGCTGGCCTGGGAACGCCTCGGGGTCCCCCCGGAGGAGCTGGAGGACGTGTCTGGGGTGAAGGAAGTCTGGGAGTCCCTGCTTAGGCTGCTGCCCCCATGACCCGGCCCCGGATAAGCGGACGAAAATGGATGGATGGATTGTTTCACACAATCATGTTAACATTGCAAATTCAGATATTTAAAGTCCACTCACTTTTACAAAACTTATTTTCACAAAACATGAAATGCCAATGCTATGAGCACTTTAAAAAATCTAAACAAGTATCTTTAAGAGACCTAATAAAATGTAGTATTTTTCACTTGTATAATTACTAGTGAGAAGGATTTGTGTGGGACCATATAATGTACATTGAACTCTGTTTTGTGATGTTTTAGGAAGAGGAAGTTTCCCCACAGCTCTTCACTTTCCACGAAGGCTGTGTCTCAGCTTGTGGAGATGGAAGAGCAGGTTCTTGAGGACCACAGAGCTGTGTTTCAGGTAAACAATTCAAGTGACATCCATTTTATCTGTGTAAATCTGAGCTGCATGGATTTATAAATCTTAAATCTATTCACAGAAGTCGATTCGTTGGTTAGAAGATGAAAAAGTACTTTTAGAAATGACAAAGGAGGTAGACTATGATGTTGAATCATATGCAACTCAACTTGAGCAAATTCTGGATCAGAAGATAGACATTCTCACTGAGCTGAGAGGTAAAATACAGTAATCAAGACTCTTGTTTTTTACATTGATACTTGCAGAGCATAATCTGTAATTCTGTTTTGTTTTAGA